GTTACCACCCCTAGTAGGGCAATTAACAAGTTTTGCAAAATCATTATGATCCAGAATTGACTGAATATTTAAATCGTTGAAATCTCTTGTTATAGAAATACCAGCATCCGGATATTGCAACAAAAGAGACTCAATAGTAAAAGCAATATGATCGATATATTCTTGTGCATTATTTTTCCGAGGAGGATAGTATACAATACAGACTATCAAACATGAAATTTGGTGAGGCATTCGGGGTGGTTTCATTGTTGACCATAGGCTCTCCATTCCATTAGGAATCTGTACTGACAACAATTTGGCTTGAAAAGATGTTTAGCGTACAACGCCACCCCACCACCGAGCTGAGTGACCATCACACTTTGGCCTCGATAACATAGAAAAGTTTTGTAAGGTACACAATTCATTTGGGGGGGTATCAAGAGACAGCCAAGTTTCAGTTATTCTTTTAACATCAACATTGTTAGTGTCCACATAAATTTGGAGTTCATCAAAATTAGCGGTCAATGATCTTATATTTGACAATAGGAACCTAGGCAAATTATATTGCCGTGAGTCAACTTAACGATCAGACCTTCTCAGCTGAGTAAAATACTCAGCTGAACAGTGAACATGTTCGTGTACATGTCACGTGTAGACGACTGCACTTGACCCGTGTCTCGCCGCTACAAGAATGTTACTCAAAAGTCTATTACAAGAGTATGATTCAAGGTATCCTCTTTTTTGTCAAAGTTTGACAAAGCAATTATTCCTGACTCTAAAAATTAAGTTTTATTAGGGCATACAATTTCTTTTAGATGAGTTATGCACAAGGCGTATTTTTTCCATCACAAAATGTCTGGATTCACACAATTTGGTGTGCACAGTTGGTTTAAATTCAAAGTCTTTCTACAAAACTTTCTATGCAGCGGATTCCCAGTTTTTGAGTGCTATCGATTAAGACAGTCTTCTAGTTTATATAAATCTAGTGCTTATGACCAAAGCCCATTTTAATGGATATTGATCAAATTTGGCAACACTCAATTTTTTCAGGTGAAAAATAAAATAAATTTCGTGTTATTTAAAACCACATTCATTCCTTTTTGAGGCAGGGTACAAAACCAATGCTACTGAAAAATAAAACGATTAATGTAATTTGGATTTGTCGTGAAAAATTTGATTGCTTATGCTCCGTTTCCAACAAATCCATTAATTAACAAAGATGACGCCTCATTTTGCAATCAGAGCGCGCGAAATCAGACCATTGTTTTGCTGT